ACTAAGCAGCTTGATCCAATTACCTTAGTATAGGTGTTGGATGCTAATTGAAAGACCTTCTAGAATGTCTGAGACATAAGCTTTATAGATATGACATGGCATCCACAGACCCCAGGGCAGCAACTGGAAGCTAGATGGGATTGCATGCACATCTCAAATATCACTGGAAACTTCTGCTTAGGCAAATATATCGAGCTTTTGATGGTAGTCCTGTAGCACTTCTGACTTTTTTTCCTTCCTATGTTCCACAGTAAAAGATCTCTGAATTTATCAGTAAAAGTTTTCTTCAGTTGTTGCCCTAAAGTACTGATGACCATTGAAGAAATTGTTTCAATATATGTTTCTCATATTTCCTTGTTAGTTATAGATGCAGAGAAGAAAAAAAGAAATATAATTTTAAACAATGAGTTTTGACTGCTGATCAACTTCTAAACAAGGCGAAAATAATTGAAACATTGTTAGAGAGGCTCAAATAATAATATAATGCTATATAACAATTATGCGATATAACAATGTAATATATAACAATATAATTAATGCTATATAACAATATAATAATTCACTAGAGAATTTTCAGAAAGAGAAAATTGAGAAACTTTTTTCATCAAGCTTTCTACAACCTTATTTCACTTCATGCTGAACGCGCTTGCCAAGAATCAAGAATTGAGTGTACTATTTTTACACAACATACTTGTTTTACTGACTACATGGACCCCCTTTTTTTTTTTTTTTTAAATCTGATTCATGTTTAAGCAATTGTTTGTAAACTTTAAAAAAAGCTTTTGGTTTTACTCAGAACTCTGTGTGTCTTTGTTTTAGATTGAGGAGGATACGTGGCAGAAATACTACCTGGAAGGAGTTGCAAATGAAATGTATACAGAGTATCTGTCTAGTGCCTTTGTGGGTTTGTCCTTCCCTGCAGTTTGTGAGTAAGTAGAAATACTTATTAATACACATAAGTATTTGCCTTCTTTCAAGTGAAATCTAAGGTTTCTGCAGGAGACCTTTTCACTCTGCCACAGACCTAATGTTGCTACATAGATGGGTTCCAATAAAGTAAACAACAAAGCAATCACTGTATGGAAGTATTCCAAACATTGTAATGCCTGTTTTCAGAAGAGATTTGGAATTAAGTGATTGTAAATGAAAGCATAAGTGTTGTCAGTGCTTCACAAATTCATCAGAAATCCATTTAAATTTGTTTATTACTATAAGCACAAGACTTTGCCTAGATATCTTGAAATAGAAAATCTCATAATGTATTCTAGAAATTGGTATTAGATTCAGAATGAATGCTAATTTGTACTGTTTACCCTAACTACAGTCATGAAAATTAAATCTCCACACAAAACCACTGTCAAACATACTTGAATTTCTATATGTGTTCTTAGAAACATGTGACTGAGACTGACATAAAGCTGACATTCATTTAAGTGTGCTGCTAGAGCTGAGATAAAATAATCAATAAAGAAAGGGCATTTATTGAGATTCAGAAACATGTCTAAACTTTGGAGCTCTCCTCAAGCATTTGATTATCTAGAGGCTTAATTAACCGTGTTTCCTAGTTTAAATTAAAGAAAACGATTTATCTCAAATTTTCCAACAGTTTAATAACTCTATTAAATTCAGGTTAATTAAAGCACATTGAAAATTAAAATGTAGTGTTACATATTAATGAGTTTGGTGCATAGGTATTTTCGTTACCATAAGAACTGGCTATTCAATTTCCAGAAGAACAAGAGGACAGCAAAAAGTCCGCTGCATTTGTTTGTGAAGGGGAAATAAAATCAGTGGACAGGCTTAGTGTGATCAACTACCCACAAAATATACGGACTTTGAGAACAGGTTTTGTAATTTAGCTTTTACAATTCATGCCATCAATGACATTTTAAAACCCTGAAACTGAATGTGATATGCTGCTTCCTCAGGTTATTGGTCTCGATTGCCGGTCTAGGAATGTGATTCTTTGGTAAATAGGCTGCCATACAGTTTGGATAACAAACATAAAGAGAGTGCAGAAACATCTCCTCTTTCAATGGGGATGGGACACTCAATATTGTTGAAGAATTTCCAGCTTTTGATGTTAACACCAAAGTGAAAAATTAGATGGAAATAGAAGTTAATATCAGTCTGCAAGTTTTACTTATAACGCTGAGTATATGTGTGTGTACTGTGTGAACATATTCCCACCAATATATTTTTAATACATGAATGTAATTCCTATCATTCTGTGCCCTTGGATATTGTGGTGTGGATGATTCTGATTGAAGAGTGAACTAACCAAACTGTTCCCCACGAGAGCAGAGTCTTCTAGTGGGCCTTCTAATATTTACTAATGCAAGGCTAACCTTCATCCAGGTTTTAGGCCCACCATTCTCCACTCAAAATTTTTCCTAATGAGGCTAGCACATCTATGGATTCACACTTGACCTAACAGTGGAAACAGCATATGAAAGGTGTCTGCTTCTCTTAATACATGTTAAATTGGGCCTATTTGCTGTTGGTTCTATTTTTGAAGTCACTCATTCAATCAAATGTCATAGCCATGTTTTAATAAAAGGCAAAATTATAGAGATGTCATTATCTCTGTATTTGTGCAGCATATGATTGCATGGTATATACCTATGGCATGTATTCCCACATTAGTCATGAGGTTTTTTGTATGTTTTTATAACAGATCATTTGGGGAGCTAATCACAGAAGTCTTAGAAACTTCATTGTCCTGACAAAGGAGAACTAAGTTAGATGAGTAGGTGACACTCAGCACTTGTCTGCATTCTCTCTTGGCTCTGCAACGGTTTATTTCTCCTCTGGATATGTTCATAGTAGTAGCACTTTCTAGTCTGAGAGTGACTCCAAATTAAGCCAGTCTTTCATAGAGCATAGGCTACCTGTAACTGTCAAGTTCTTGCTTCTATCTTTGTATCATTCTCTTCAACTAGATTGCTGACTTGTCTCGGTGAGGTAAATCTTAGGCACTTTTGAACTCTTGAGACTTAAGCCACACATAATATGACCAGTACAGTTTTCTGCCTCTCTGAAGCAGTGATGCTGGATCAGTCCATACCTGTTAAATTAAGAGCTTTTTCCTGAACCCAGGATTTTATTCAACATTGCAGATGTGTGTCAAATTTTAGACTCAACAAATGTAAGGTCAGCTCAGGTAGTGGCCAAAACACAAGACAGCCTCTAGACTGATGTGACTCTAAATGAAGCTTTCCATTTTCTGACTGTGATTAAAATCAGACTCCATGTGATTCTGCCAGAGAATTTTACTATGTTTTATTTAAAATACTTCCTATATTTTACAATATTCTCCAAGTGCTCTCAGAAACTCTCCTCTGGGTCCCCCCAGCAACAGGTTAGCCACCCCCACTGCCTCCAGCCAGCCAATGAATATGTGCTAAATAGACTCCGTGGGCACACCTGTGAGGTAGCAAGAGCCCACACATGAAAACAGATGTTGTAAGGTCCCACTGTGCTCCCTAATTTAACCTCAGTGGACAGCAACCTTTTCACAAGTATGAAAAGGCTGCTTCAATAGAAAGTTTCCATAGATCAGCGCAGAGGCCTTACAGCTTCCCACAGTTCTTTCTTCTTTAATGCCTTTGAAGTATGGAGGCCTATGTTACTGTTACCAGTGCTTACACCATGGTTTTGGATAACCTAGATTTTACTACACTTGGTACAAGCAATAATTAGTGGGTTAGTATTTACTGAACAAATATTAGTTTATTAATTCAAACTCTGTATACGTGGCAGCCATGTTTCCTGTTCATACCTAGAAAACTAACAATACTCACTTCTGTAAAGCAAGCTTGGTTTCTTTGTGCTTAAAACCTTCAGCAGAGCTCTTACAGGAACAATGTCCATACTTAGTTTTCTTATTCCAACATGATCAGCTTTAATGGGAGACAGAAAGAACAATGGAATGATAGTTTTGTTTAGCAGGATGAGAGTACACAAAAGTAACAAAAGACAAATATTTATGAAACTCTTTAGCCAAGTGTGTATTGGAGTAGAATGTATTCCACAGCACTTCCATTGCATTTCAAATCAGGAACCATCTCATAAACCAAGATAATATTTGATGTGGGAAACACGGAGAAAAATCAATGTAGTGTTCTGTATTGACATTTCTTGCATTCAGTGTTTTCATAACAGACGGACAGGTCAGCAACCAAAAACTTAAATATTCAGCTCAGGTTCTCACTACCATCCTAGTAATGGTAGTGGTATCCACTACGGTGAGCAGTAAATTTATTCTCTCACCTGCTCTTGGTCTTATCAGCAGCCACTGACTGGAACTGGTACAAATAATTAATTTGTAGCAAGTGCTTCTGTGTGTATATACGTGTATATAGAGAGTAATGTATGTCATTATGAGTGATGTATGTCATATTATCATGAGTGACATAAATCACTCTCTACACTCTATTATATTGTTTAAATAATGACTCATGAACCCACTAGAAAGAGACTGATCTTTATCAGGATTCACCCATATTGTCCATATGCTTTTGTGTTAAAATGTATACTTGGTATTCTGTATTCCCTCTAGATGTCTACTTTTCCTGCTACCATGAATTCTACGTTATCCTAGTAGAGTTCCAGTCTTGGAGGTCTTCTTCCACTGTGCTAGATTTAAAGAGTACTTTGACTTTTTTGATTGATTTATGCAAAACTTGGCCCACTTAGATGTGGGGGGGTTTATTATTTTAACTTATGTTAATTGTGTACAACTCAATCTCATAGAATTTAATAGAAGGGTTTTCCTTTTGGTCTTTGAATGACCCCATAAAATCTCGATCTCCTAAGGAAAAGACAAAAGGCCTTGTCCACAGCCTTACATGAGTGATACTCAACAAAATTATTGCTAAAAACTTTGTTAGGTCTATAGAATAAGTGCCTAAAATACCCATACCAAATGCTCAGCTTCTGCACATGACAGGACTGATAGCTTTTTCTCCCCCCGCTTTCTTTCTCTCTCTCCTTTCATTTTCCCCTTTTTCCTGTTCTTTTTCCCTCCCTTCTTCCTCCCTTCCCCCCCTTTTCTCCCCCTTTTCCCCATTTTTTCCCTTTTTTTTTCCTCCTCCTCCCCCCCCCC